CGGCGCTACGGCGATTCCTGGAAGTCAGCGTGGGGTTCAAACCCTGCATGTTGCCGTTTCTGCTGCACTCTGCTTCATTCCGGCCGTGCTGCTCTCGTTGCTGATTTGATTCTCCCCTTTGGGCACTAAGCATGGATCCTGCTTTATCTAGGAGATATGCTTTCCTGTTGTAGAACAGTAGTATAATGTTACTGTGCATTTTTAACAAGAATGTCTTTATTACTGTTTAAATCTCCTTTAACTGCAAATCCTGTTCGACTGTAAGCTGCTGTAAGCTCTGCACGTAACTGTATTTCTGTGCCTGGTTCAATTATTGAACAAGGTCATTATCTCACTGAAATATTCTGCTTCAGAGAGCTGCCATATAGATCCCTCTGGCTACAGCAGTCTGTGGCTAGATATAAATTTATCTAAAGGAAACAGCCCTTTTCCAGGGCTAATCTCTTTCCTAGGAGAATCCAGTCTAAAGCTGATTTCTACCACTGAGGTCAGAATGCAAGGTGTGATGTTTGACTGTGATCTTTGGATCACACAGCAGCTGTGTCAGCAGCAGCAGCCTCACACGTCTTGCCATTCTGCACTGCCTTCTGCGTGCTGGCGAGTGGTGTCGTCCCCTGTGGGACATAAAGCCTGGGATTCTGCTCCCACCCTGAAACAAAAATAGCCATTGTCCATTGAGGTGAAAGTTCAGGTTGGTTCCTGCAACTGGCGAGGTATCTTGCATGGTCATTATCAGGAGATCTTGCAGAGGTCCAAGGAGCACTTATTGAGTACTCAGTGCCCATGGGGAAAACACTATGTCCCTGCTCCCCAGGCCTGTGCTTCCCAATGCAGCTCTGTGTATTCCTGGTCAGTTCTGCATGACTTGGGCTGTGTGATCGGCAGTGGGATTTGAGTCATGTGCTCTTCTGCATCCAAGCTCTGATAAATCCTCTTACACAGTCTATTCTCAGAAGGCTCTTGGGCAGAAGAGGTTTTCCAGGCTGAGAACTTGGCCACTTCTTGCCAGCTGATTGGTATCCCAACAGCCTGGGTGAAGTACTGCAAGTTCTGTTCCTGGTTTGCACTCTGGTCCTGCAGAATGTATTGTGACAGCAATAACATCTTCATTTGTCTGGGCTGTGCTCACTGAAGGAGAAGCTCGGCTGCATGCCTAGATCCAGAAAATCATAGCAATTTCTGTGTCATCACTAGGTCTGTGTGCTAAGGAGTATATTCTTGAGGTTGCTGTTTGTGTTTTCAACATGGACACCCCCCCGAGTCCAGTTTTTAACTGTTATTTTGCCACCTGTAGGAGCAGAATGTTGTAACTGGCCCAAAACGCTGAAACTGTCAGATTTTGCTGAGAGAGTGTGACGTGTCTAGTGTCACACTTGTAGTTAGTTAGATTTGTGTGGTAGCAGCCCTGTTATCATTTTAGAACTGTGCAGTCTGCATCAAGGCAGATATTTCTGCTGAGGATCAGAGGCTCTGTGTGGTGACTGCACTGCCCAGCCTTGAGGGGACATATTCCTGTGCCTTGCTGGGTGTTTTCAGATAGGTAGAAGCCCTCTGAATGGCACTGTAGGTGTTTGTTTGGTTAATAACAGAAAAATCTGTTATTAACCAAACAAACACCTACAGTGCCATTCTGTTATTAACATAAATCTTTTGGATTTCCAGGCTAAAGCCCTGGATTTTGTGCTGCTGAGTCCTGCTTTGGCTTAGCTGCAAGGGAGAGCCAACAGCAAGCACTCCCACAGTGGGCAGTGGTTCTGCTGCTCTGTGTGGCTCCTGTCAGTTCTTCCTCTGCAGGGGAAGCTGCATCATCACAGAACTGTATGCTAAATCTGTCAGATAACTGAGAGAGACACTGTGGGGCACTTTACTTTTCCACACAAACCTAAATTATACTCTGCCCACAGATCTTTGCCAGTGTTTGCATAAGCCTGTTGATAAATTGAAGAACACTTTGTGTTTAAAGTGAAACCTTTTGGTTTCATTTTCCAGAAGCAGTTGGCTCTGAAGGTGTCAAGCAGAATGGAAAAAAGGCTGCAGCCAGTCAGAGCCACAGCCACGACAGCACCGACAGAAGTGCTCCCAGGTACGGAGTCTCCGCTGTGTGCGGCTTCGGGGCAGCAGCTGAAGGGACCTGTGCACATCAGCTCTCTGTGGAAGGTCGAGTGAGGAGTAAAAGTGGTGGCCCCATTTCTGTGCTAGTTTAGTTGTGCCTCCCTCCTCAGTGGGTCTCTGTATAGTGACCACAAACAGAGAGCAGCAATGCTCTGGGTCCTGGGTGACTGTGTGAGGATGGAACCAATGGGGTGGGCAAACTGTTGATGCTTTGATGTCTAGAGAAAGTGCTGGTGGGTGAGCTCTGGGCACGGCCGCGTTATCGCCAGCAGGTCAATGTGCAGAGGAGGGGATGGCAGAACAGAGGCTGGAAACCTTCTGAGATGAGAATCTGCAGATTCTAGTTCAGAGGGAAAACAGTTCAGCATAAGCATGCGCTCAGAACGTTCGTGGTGATTTCAGCCCAGTCCCTCAGAGACAGCCTTGCTAGTCCCCTATTTGGGCATATCTTGGCTGTTCACTGGGACAGGACCTGCTAGCATTGTTTATTTTGAATTCAGAGGGCTTTGGCTTAGAGCCACTGCGTCTCATAGATACACTCTCGAAATGTTACAGTTGCGTTTTCCAGTTCCCAGGACTTTGTGGTCCCTGCTGCATATCCTTCAGAGTCTGTCCCAGTGCTGTCCTTGGCACTGCTGTGCAGGTTGCTGACTCTAAATTTATACCATCCACTTGCTGGTGGGAACTCCCAAGCTGTGGCACCATTCCTGTTGCACAAGGAGTTTGCAGAGCCAGAAGACACTAAAATGAAACCACCTTTACCTCCACCCACTCTGGGCAGAGCTGGAAGTTTTCCACCAGAAGGGTTTTTAAACAAACACAGCTCTTCATTCTCCTGCTGAGGTCAGAAGGGCTAAGCAGAGGCGGCAGGAGATGAGATTTCCATCTCCTTGTTCCAGTGAGCAGGGAAGGTGTACAGGTTCTGTATCAGTATCCAGGTGTGAGTAAGGCCTGCTCTGCACTGACAGGCTGCACCAGGGTAGTGAAAACCATTGGTTATTTCAGTTAGTGAAACTGGGTTTGTCTGAGCCCTGCTAAGAAATGTTCCTTTCAGTCTTGTTGGCTTATCCCAAGCATTACCTGTCTTTAGTGAACAGACAGACAAATGTTAATCAAGGCCTTGGTGGCAGAAATGAGTTGGTTAGGGTGTGTGGATAGCCAGGACTTCATCTTCAGTTTTGCTTTCACTTGCAGGCAAAACAAACTCAAGCCTGAAGTGAGAACTGAACAGGTCCGACCCTCCCACGTCATGGCTTCAAACAAGGTCTTGATCTTACCAGAACCAAAGCTTGGACTGAGAGATACTATTGTTAAATCTCAGCTGGTGCAGATGGAGGATTCCTACACACACATCCAGAACTTCAGGTAGCAATCATTCCTGAGAACTTCCTTTTGTAGCTTGTAAGCTAGCACAGGCTGTCAGAATGACTTGTGTCCATCATTTCATCCTGTGTCCTACAAACAAGGAATTCCATAGATAAGGATGATCCATACTTTCCAGAGCAGTTTTCTTTCCTTGTTTAGGCTTTAGCAGAGCAGAATTTCACACATGTCTCTGTCAAGGTTCTGTCTCGTGGTTCTAGTGGAGAAAATGGCCTTTTTGAAATCACTTTTTTCTCTGCTTATTTCAGACTGTGCTTGGAAATGCCTCAGCTCTGTGCACTGAGCCTTCCCCCTCCACTTCTGCCCAGTACTTACCTGTTCATGTAGTAGTTCCTATAAGCTCATCAGAGCTTGGGTGAAATATGTAATTAGGACCAAGACTTTACTGTGGTTGAAATAGTTTTATGCATCTCATTCCATGAATTGATCTTTCGAACTGCTCCTGCACAGCTCCAGTGTTTTGTTTTCCCTTCAACACTATGTATACCAGTGTGTTACTGTGCCTGCACAGGTGCTGCTGTGGGAAAATCACCTTAGAGATTGCTAGAGTTTCTTAACTCCCCCTGCAGACCTGTTAGCTCTCTGTACCATGAAGAGCCTGGTTAGTAGCAGTGGTGTTTCCTGGCTGTGCAGGTTGCAGCTCTGGGGTTCAGCTGCTGTCTTTGCAGGGTTTTTGTCGGGACGTACAACGTGAACGGTCAGTCACCCACAGAGAGCCTCCAGCCCTGGCTGAGGTGTGATGCAGAGCCTCCAGACATTTACTGCGTGGGGTGAGTGTCTCTCCCTGGCCTGTTCTGCCAAACCTGGGCTGTGCTGGCAGACCTGTCTCAGGAGGAGTTCAGCCAGGGCAGCACGGGAATGTTGGCACTGCCGTAGCATGGCACAGCTTCAGGGTGTGCAGGGCCAGGAAGGGCTGCTGGTCTGGTACTGTTTGGCCTCTCAGTGTCACAAAATCCCTTCGATATCACAGTCACAGTAATTTAGCTTTGCATTTAACATACCTCTGCAATCAGCATAACTGGATTTGAGTTTTCAGTTACAAATTTAGTGAGTATAAATTGGTTTAGTTCTTTCCCAGAGGAAAGGGCTGGAGAGTTATAAACAAGTGCTGGGTTCCTTCCTCTAACACAGTTTCCAGGAGCTTGATCTGACTAAAGAAGCCTTCTTTTTCAATGACACACCGAAGGAAGAAGAATGGTTTAAAGCTGTAACTGATAGTCTTCACCCAGATGCCAAATATGCAAAGGTAAATGTGGCTTGTGGGGAGGTTTGAGTGTGGAATCATTTTCCACTTGGGCCTCTTTTCCCTTTGCCTTCTCTCATTCTGGATGGCTGTGTCCTCCAGGGGCTGTGGTCTGCAGGCTCTGCACGTGTCGTAGGTAGTGCTGCTGTGCAGGGTGCTGAGGCAGGGCAGGATGGGGACCACAGCCAGGCACCCCCACATAAAGGGAGCTCCTCCTGCCTTGGGGAAGGAGAATAGGAAGTTCCTTAGCCTCTCCCCTGTCTGTCTCCACAATGCACAGTGGAATGAGTTGTGAAGGTATTTTGGTAGGAATACTGCTTATGTCTTGGCTCTGCTCCTTTGGTCTGCCTTGTCTCTTGTCTCTGTTGTTGAAGGGAAGCTCCTTCCGTAGGCTTATCCCTGTGCTGTGACTCTGGCTTTGGGCTTCAGCTTCCTTTACTGGGGTGTTGCTCCCTGGCTCCTTCCTGGGCTGAGTACTGTGAGTTCAGCTGGTGTGTCAGAGGAGCCTGGAACTCTCTTTTGGTGGCCCTCGTTCTGGATGGGAGCAGTGTGCCTTCTCTCGACAAACCTCTCTCATCCCAGCGTTTCAGGGCCCAGGGTCTGTTTTCCAGGTGAAACTCGTGAGGCTGGTGGGAATCATGCTGCTGCTGTACGTGAAAGCAGACCTTGCTCTAAACATCTCCGAGGTGGAAGTTGAGACTGTAGGAACTGGAATCATGGGGAGGATGGTAAGAATGGCGACTGTGCATGAGAAGGGATGAGATTTGGAAGAGCCCTTCTCCTTGGATGCAGGGGTTATTCCTCCAGCTAAGGCTGCAGCTGCCTTCAGAAGCAGATAGTCCTACCTCTGTGCCAACTCAGAGCTCTGTGAGAGGGAATTGCCATGTGGTCACAAATGCTCCAAGTAGTAATCACTACTTGGCATTTTCAGCCTTTTTCCTCTTCTGGAATTAAGTAGAGTCTGCTTCAAAATTGTCTGGCTCATCCACTGCCAGTAACTCATTTGTGGATTCATCTGTGGTGTAGAAGCTTCTGACCAATGTCTTTGTCTTTATGTTTCAGGGTAACAAAGGTGGTGTTGCCATCAGGTTTAAGTTCCATAACACCAGCGTGTGCATTGTGAATTCTCACCTCGCCGCTCACACGGAGGAGTACGAGCGCAGGAACCAGGACTTCAAAGACATCTGCTCACGGATGCAGTTCTCCCATTCGGACCCAAACTTGCCCCCTCTGACCATTGGCAAACACGAGTATGTTTCTGGTCCGGCTGTGAGAATCAGGGCACATGACAAGGGAGCATCTTGTGGACATGCTGGGGGCGAGGGGGGAGCCCAGTGAGCTAAATGTCAGCTGGAAGGGCCAGAAATGCCTTCCCTGGTTTGGGGAGTGCTCACCTGCACAGTTCTGATGGGCCACTCATTGCCTTATGTTCTCCCAGGCCTTGCTTTATTCTCAAGCTTGGGGTGGGGAATAGGACAGCAACAAGCACTGATATTCCCAGCTGAGAGATTCAGTCAATGTGGAACAGTAACAGCACCAGTTATTAAGGGATAGTGACAAACATGCAGAACAGTGACTGAAAATAGCAAAGGTACAAAATGGAGCCTCTCTTTCAGGTTCTCACTCTTGCCTCTGATGAGAGCAGGCACAGCACCTGGGTGTGCTGGGATGAGCAGAGCTGTGTATGGCCTTGCTGTGGAGCCCCAGGGGCCCTGGGGCAGCATCAGGCCTCTGCAGGGTCTGCTGCACTTTCTCTTTCAGTGTGATACTATGGCTGGGGGACCTCAACTACCGTCTGGAGGACCTGGACGTGGCGAAAGTGAAGCAGCTTGTAGAGGAGAAAGCGTTTGTAGAGCTCTGCCACTATGACCAGGTATTGCTGTCTCACTGCTTCAGTGGTGCTGAGGTGCTCCTGGAAACTGCACAACTAGCTGTGCTCAGTGTCTCTCATGTGGGAATTGTGCTTGAGCTTGTGTCAAATTAATCTTTTTGTCTTCTTTTCCTTCATAGCTGAAGAGGCAAATGAAGGCCAATGCAGCCTTCGAAGGCTTCACAGAGGGAGAGATCTCCTTCCAGCCTACGTACAAGTATGATGCTGGCTGTGATGACTGGGACACAAGGTACAGCGATTGCCTCATGTGTCATGCCACCAGTGGCTGATATTATCACTGAGGGAAGTAAAAGCAAGGAAAAAAATTGCAGGTCTAATGGCTGTAAACAGGAAGAGTTCTGAGATTATTGCTGGTTCTCTCCCTTGGATTCAAAATCCACCTCCAGTTTACATCTATTTACATTGCTTTTCTCCCACTGCTGTTTGTCAGATATTCATAATCTTTTTTTTCCCAGGAATAATCCTGTTGGGTTTTCTCTTAGAGGAGAATAAAATTAAGGAATCCTTTCAGCTAGTTTAATTCTTTTTGTCTGGTTTGTTGGGATTTTTTCCCCAAGTAAGATGTTTAGGATCCTTTATTTGCTAATACCTGCTGCACCTGCTCAGGTGAGACCAGCCAGGGCTGACAGAGCATTTGTGCTGTGTGTTCTCCAAGAGCCTGTGAGCACCATCACTCCTGTAATGCTCTGCACACAAAGTAGCTCACCTGTTCTCAGCAAACCAGGAACTTCATCTGCAAGTACAGGAATGAAACCTGTGCAGCAGCCAGTGAAAAAACGAATGTAAACTTAAGTGCAGAGCCTGAGTTCTTATTCCCTTTGGTTCTTGTGGTCCGAAGTATCTGAGCATTGCTTTGTATGTTAATTGTATCTTGCACCTTTGGAGAAGCAGGAAGTAAAGCATGAGATAGAGACACCGCATGGTAGACAATCAAACTTTTTGTATGTACTCAAAGAAACTGTTAAAATAGGACTTTGATGGAGAATGAGCCCCAGGCCATGGCAGGAAGCCCCAAGTGTGTGTGACAGTCCCTGTGAGAGCAGTGTTGTGCTTGCACCTGAGCTGTGCCTGCAAATTGTGATTTTCCCTCTGTTTCAGTGAGAAGTGTCGTGTTCCAGCGTGGTGTGACCGGATACTCTGGAAAGGGCAGAACATTGCCCAGCTGAGCTATCGCAGCCACATGGCTCTGAAGCTCAGTGACCACAAGCCTGTGAGCTCCGTGTTTGACATTGGGGTGAGTACGTCAGTGCTGGAGGAAATAACTTTGCTGAGCTCATCCTCAGCATGGGGAGGGAGGAGGGAGGTTCTCCTCCTGATTTTCCTCTCCTCCTACTTTTATGGCATCCTCAGAACAATGGCTTGGAAGGTGAGCTGGATCAGATACAGAGATAGGATTGTTGGACATAGTAACCAAGGACTGTGTAAATGATACTCCAGTAAGGCAGAACAATGCCTGAAGAGCTGTTACTGTTCTTTGGGAACACAGTGGTGTGTTGTCATTTTTCTTGAGGCAAAAAAAGGCTGATCTAGTACTGCCCAAGTGACTCTTGTTAGTTATGGCAAGGTCCTTTACTGTTGGATCCTGAGGAGACTTTGGAGCATTAGTGCTCCAAGTGGCCCTGCCATTCCCTGGGTTGTATACTCTAGTGTGCTGCTAAGATCAAATCGCTTCCCATGTTTCCAGCTGTGTTTCCGCTGCCCTCAGAGGCACAGCAAGTGCAGCTGCTGAGGTGTGTCCCTTTCAGGTGAAGGTTGTGAATGAGGAGCTCTACCGAAAAGCCTTTGAGGAGATCGTCCGCTCCCTGGACAAGCTGGAGAACGCCAACATTCCCTCGGTGACGCTGTCCCGCAGAGAGGTAGGGTCTGGCCGGTGCCAGCGCTCCCTGGAGCAGTGGGGACGGATTCTAGGCCCTGGGGTCTGGTTCCAGAGCAGAATATTTGGACTTGTGGCTGCTCCCTGTTTACGAGCCTTGGGAATCTTTGCTCCTGTTTAGATGAGGTAAACTCCATTCACAGCACAAGGCTGAAGCACAGGGAGTGTCAGTCCCAGAGGTGAGGAGAGAGAAGGTAGAAGGGTGATTTGTGACCCTTGCTCTGACATGTTCTTTGAGGCATAAAATGCAAAATCTGAAGGATTTGGAGAAGATCACAAACCAACACTTGCTTTGTGTGTTGGGCACTATAAGGATAAGCCCAGAAGACATTTGGGGCTCTCTTGTCCTGAGTTTCATTGCAGTTACTTGAGGGGAGCATTCATTTTAAAGAGCCCACTATGCAAAGGACTTTGGCATTCAGAGTAAGCAAGTGTGATCCTATGCAGTCCTTCCTGGAAGAGATAGGATGTGGGAGCAAAGGGTTAATCTGGGTGTCTTGCTGCTTAATGTGTAAACCACAGGACAGGAATGGCTGCTGAGGCTCAGCAAGGTGGAATTGGCTGATGATGCTGACTGACATTTGTTCCTAGATCCATTTTGAGGATGTCAAATACATGCAGCTGCAGGTAGAGAGCTTTACAATCCACAATGGCCAAGTGCCCTGCCAGTTCGAGTTTATCAGCAAACCAGACGAGAAAACCTACTGCAAGCAGTGGCTGACTGCCAATCCCAGCAAGGGCTTCCTGCTCTCAGGTGAGCTCCTCCTCGTTCTCTCATGCTAATGAGCTGATTTTGTCCCCTCCTTAGCTCTTTCTGCTCTTCTGAGAGTGCTGTGCCTGTTTGCCTGTTGGTCTGATACTGGTTGTAACTGGGTTTTTATCATCCTCTGGCAGATTCTGAGATCACAATTGAGCTGGAAGTGTTTGTTAATAAATCAACAGCTACTTGCTTGAACTCTGGAGAGGAAAAGCTTGAAGATATCTTGGTCTTGCATCTTAGTGGGGGGAAGGATTATTTTCTGTCTGTAACGGGCAACTATTTGCCAAGCTGCTTTGGGTCACCTATCCACACACTGTGCTACATGAGGGAACCGATCCAGGACATGTCGGCAGAGTCCATTCGGACCCTTGTGAGTTGCAGACCAAATTCCCTTCCAAACCCCCAAGAGCCACTAAAACTAGAGGCTAAGGCCTGTTTACTATTATTAATAAGCCTTAGTTCCCAGGTATAAGCTTTGTGAAATGTTTTTGCCAAGTTGAATGAGCACCTTTTGTTTGTTTGTTTGTTTTCCCCTGCCCACACCTCCCTCCCTCCGTCAGACCCTGATGCCACTAGACAAGAGTGGTGATCCTGCTCAAGCTGAAAAGCCCATGGACATCCCAAAGGAGCTGTGGATGATGGTGGATCACCTGTATCGCCATGCTTCCCAGCAGGTTGGCAGTGTTTGTGCTGGAAGCACAAAGTGATTTGTTTGCATTGGGTTGGGTTCTATAGAAGATCCTGGTGGCAGCAGTCACTGTTAGCTGTGGGTGTTTGGCCAAAGGCCATCTGGGATAAGTGATCATGGTGCCCAGGGCTGCACTGTTTGGTGCTGGTGACTGTCTGCAGGCATCAGCAGTGTCCTCCTGCACTGCTCTCGCTGCAGTGCCACAGCCTTTCTAGAGCTGCTTGTGCTGAGACTTGTGTGATAACCACCAGTTTGGAGAGACTTTCCAGGCAGATTACAAGGATATTGCTCTGTTTACCCAAGGAGCTTCTGTTTCCTTTGAACTAAGAGCTGTCTCTGCAGGAGGACCTGTTCCAGCAGCCAGGCCTCAGATCCGAATTTGAGCAGATCCGAGACTGCCTGGACAAGGGAGTGGATGATACCTTCCGTATCCTTTCAGAGTCCAAGGAGGCTCCTTGTGCCATGGTGGTCACTGCTGAGACAGGTTTTACCAGTGTGCTCTGCTGCACCCGGAGGTGACTGAGCTCTGCAGGTCCTCACAGCTGTGGCACCAGTCTGGAAGTCTCTGCTGAGTCCTTGTGATGTTGATGAATGGTTGTTGATCATTACACCAGAGTCTGAGTGCCAGGGGTGCAGCTCACTCCATGGATCCAGGGGATTAACCCAGAGCTGTGAGCAATAGGAGCAGCTCTGGGAGACTAAGCAAAAGTTCATGTTTCACCAGAAATAGGACCAGCCTGGATCACACTGTGCTTGCCTCTTCCTTAACCACGTTTGGGTCAGTGGGCAGCAACCACTCGGTGGCAGAAGCTCTGCTGCTGTTCCTGGAGAGCCTGCCAGAGCCAGTCATCTGCTCCAGGTTCTACCGCTGCTGCCTGGAGAGTGCCAGCGACTACCGGCTGAGCAGCCAGGTGTGGGCAGCGCTGGGGGACTGAGTCTGCAGCCCCCCAGGGAGGGATCCATCTGTCCTCTGCCAGGCCAGCAACAGGGTTTGGCTCTCTGCTAATAGACAGGGTCTGGAGCTGGTGCCTGTGTGTTGTGAGAGCTGTTAGCACTTGCAGATGGGGCAGTGTTGGGAGCGGATAAAGCCCCTGCTGTGTCTGCAATGTAAACGCTGGGCTTTTCCCTCCTCAGATCATCTCTGACCTGCCAGGGTGCCACAAAAACGTGTTTGAGTACCTGATGGCATTTCTGCGAGAGCTGCTGAAGAACTCGGCAAAGAACCACTTGGATGTGAACATCCTTGGTAAGATGAGCAGTGACCTCCCTGTCCCCAGGGCTGTGCAGCTGGGGGAGCAAACACCTCCCAAAGAGGGGAGTGGGATTGTGGCCTGCACTGATGTGAAGCTTTATTGCAAGCAAACAGTTCATGGCAAAGCAGGAGCCTCAAGTGGTGAAGTGACCCAGAGTCGTGGGGCTGTGAGCTGTATCCTGCCCCACTCCAAAGCACAGGCATCTTCCTGGGGCTGGGGCTGTGGAACTGCCCTCGCCGTCCCACGCT